AAAAAACAATGACATTATTACAAAAATCGAGAATGTGAAAAAGTAAAAATATGTGAATCCTTCTGGATATTACTACTTTGTCTACAATATTCTATGGAATAAAAGAACCAGTTTTAGTTTACCATATTGTTTCCATTCTCCACATACATATATCCCCATTTGGAGTTATCTTGCAGACCACTTTTATCACAATGTTCACTCCAAAGTATATTTCCTGTCCTCCTCCTTTATCATCAATCCATCACTTTCACTGGGTCTAGTTAGCTGCTTCATGAGTCAATACAACTAGGTAAAGGTAAAGGTAAAGGCCCTCCCGTTGTTCATCTATTTGCTCGAGTGGGCCCAGTAACGTCTCCATTGGAGACTTTGTTGTTACTGTGTTTGGCATATCGAATACGTCACGGGGAGCTTGCCAGGCTCTGCCGTGCGGGCAAGATACTCTCGGTAGCTTGCCGGGCTCTCCAAGAGGGGCGGAGGAATCGAACTCGGGTCAGCCATGTTGGCTGCGTGCAAGGCACACGCCCTACCGCTGTGCTATCGCTCCAGCCCATATCCAGTCTCAAAAAAGATAATTATGACCAGAAGAACACAAACTTGGGAAACAGCTGTGCTCCCCTGCTAGAACCTCCAAACAAACTCTCAATACAACTAAATAAAAGTAAAATGCTTTAAAATTTTTGAAAAAGAGGAGTGTAGCAAGGAACAACAGGATGGCCTCAAAAGCAATACTCAGAGGACCAGGCACCACTTGGTGATACTCAGAAAGTCAAGCCAGGTGATTCAATGCTAGGGCTAAGGATATGGTGGTGCTGCTTAGGCCGGGGGGGGGGGGGGGGGGGGGGGCACGCACTTCAGGATCTCTAGGGCTATACTGGCAATGCTGGGGCCAGGAGTCTGAGTGCTACCAGACTGAAAATGGAATTGGGGTCCCATGCATAAAAATCATGTGCCCATGTTCCCGGTGCTATTTCCCCAACTCACCTTTCCTTGTTTTGCTTGGTTTTGGAGTCACACCCAACATCGCTCAAGGCTTACTCCTGACTGTGCTCATGGCACCATATGTGGTACAAGCCATATGAAAGAAAAGCACCTATACTACCTCTCTGGCACAGAAACTATAAGTATTTTTATCATTAGGCAACTATCTCCTAAAGTTTAAGTTGAATCTACTTTCAAAACGCACACAATTATCCTTAAATTTCAGGCAAACATCATTATTCTAGTTTTCACCTGCATAATCAAACATTATGTCAATATCCTTAATGACACTGACATATGCACATTTCCACATCTTTAAATTACAAATGTTTCCCATGTTGCTTACATATATCCATGACAAAACAGATATACAAAGAAAAAGCACTATTTCTATGGCACTCAGCGGAGGTAGAAAAAGGTAATGGCTTTTCAACTAACCTCAAAATTCAAGGTATACCTTGTAGACTAGTTACAGCAAATTCCAGTATGAGCTTCTGAGAACAGATTTGTCATATCCTCTTCCTCACCAAAGGCAGTATTTTATAATGGTTACCTAATGATACTTGGGTAGTTTTGCTACTCAAAAAGAGAAATGACCTACACACATGAGTTCTTTATACCCCAGTTTGACTCCAACATCATAACCATTATCCAAATTATCCATTCTTTAATTTCCTACATTTCAAACTTAGAAATGCATTTTTTTTAATTAGTGAGACACCATGAAGTACAGTTGCAGACTTACAAATTTTTGTGCTTGGGTTTCAATTATACAATGATCAAACACCCATCCCTCCACCAGTGCGCAAGAAATGCATTTTTTAATAGGTCCTATATTTTCACTGACTTATCAACTACTTTGTTCATTTGATTCAACTCTATTTTTATGAGATTGATAGGATACAATTAAATCATGGCTTAAAAATCTCAATATAGGGGCTAGAGCCACAGCACAGTGGGTGAGCGTTTGCCTTGCACGTGGCCCACCTGGGTTCAATTCCCAGCATCCCAGATGGTCCCCCGAGCACTGCCTGGAGTAAGCCCTGAATGCAGAGCCAGGAGTAACCCTGTGCATCACCCTGAGAGCCCACCCCGCCCCAAGGGACCCGCCATGCTCCAAGCCTCTTTCCACACCCTCTGGCCAAGCTTCACATATGAGTGAACATATTCCTGGACATAAAACACTCAATACCCATTTTCCTGGACATATGACACTCCCTGCCCATTTCCATAATTACCACACCATATTTGATGGGGTTCAGACAATAGGCAACAAATCATAGAGGGAAATATATATATGCATATATACGTATTTTCAGACATATATACTAAAGCTCACATCACCCAAACTTTAACAAGTGATATTTTATAGAACGTCTTAATGGCAGCTGCCAAAATAGAACAATCTTCACAGTGTTTTCTACATGAACACTTTTTTGTAAGCATGTTCAGCAGTTCTTCATAATAGACAATACAAAATATGTTCTTTCTTTCGTTTGTGTTTTGGGACAGAGACTGCTTGGGATGGAAACATCCCAAATTTGGTGGTGGGAAGGTGTAATGGTGGTGGGATTGGTGTTTGAATATTAAATGTAATCAAATATTGTGAAGTAACTTATAAACTAAAAAAAATTTTTTAAAAAAAGTCAGAAAGTCAGAGAACTAGCACAGTGTGTAAGGTTATTCCTGGCATCCCATACAATACGGTGCCTTGAACACTGCCAAAAGTGATATCTGAGTATGTAGTATATCAGATATCTCTTGGCAGTACTGCGTACTCAGATATCAGTACTTTCTCTGAAGTAAGTCCTGAGGCACCACTAGGTGTGGCCCCCCAAAAAAGCCCTAAGTGACATTAAATTTGCAAGTAATTTGAGCAAAAGAGGAAGTAGAAAAATGGAGATTGTGACAGTATTAAAAAAATAAGTTTCTATTATAAAAAAGGGCAGGGGAAGCAGGGATGATGACATCACAAGTGTCAAGTTTGACAGTACAGGTTTTCAAACACAACCTTAAAAATTCAAAATCACTACCAAGTTTGCCTAATACTGCTCTACTTGGTAATTATCTACTGTACATGGTTCATGGAAAAAAAATTTCCTTAGGGAGGGCAGGTTCTCTGGTTCCTTCTACCCAAAAGTAGATCGTCAAAAAAAAAAAAGTTAAAGATTGCTACTTTGTCCCCACACACACACACACACACACACACACACACACACACACACACACGCATGCAAGAAAACTGATGAATCTAAACAGAGGGTATGTGGGTACTTATCACTGTATCACTGTCATCCTGTTGGTTATCGACTGCCTGGAACAGGCCCCAGTAACATCTCCTTCATCCTAGCCCTAAAAGTGCCACATTCGAGGCTCTTTCAGGGTCAGGGAAATGAGACCCATCATTGTTACTGGTTTTTGGCATATTGAATACGCCACGGGGAGTTTGCCAGACTCTGCTGTGTGGGCAGGATACTTTTATAGCCTGCCACATTTTCCAGAGTAAGACCTAGGTAATAAGATGTCGCTTCTGGGAGCTGGGTTTTATAGTCTCTGGGTCTTGGCCGTTGTTGGAATTACACAGTGCCGGGGGCAGTTGGTGGGTGTGACGCCTGGAAGATGGGGGATCTGGGTGGAGGAGGCCCCAGTCCCAATCCGAGCAGGCTTGGAGATCTACGTCCCAGGTCCCACACACCTAAGTTCCTCGGCCGGTTCCTTCATGCATGAGGCTCATCTGAACGTGTGGAGAGTGGTCTTAAGCATGGCTGTGGCTGGAACCGGAGGTCTTCAGCTGCCGGGCTCTGCTCGGGGTAGGGAGGGAAACTCAACCCACCCTCCTCCAAGGGGCCCCAGTGGTGGGTACTCATATGCTTAAAATTTTTCAAAATAAAAACTTGGCCAAGGAGCTTACAAAAATACATTTATTCATTATTTAAAAAAAAAAAAAAACTGCCCCATAGACACACAAACAAATCTCAGAACCGAGCAGCTTGCTACACAGATGCCTCCGGACTTTGCAATAGGCCACATTCACTGGGGTACTACAGATGGGGGCAGATGCTGTCCCTTCACCTGCCCCCTAGGAATCCCTGCAGCCGCCATCTTCCAGAACCCAAGGAGAAACTCAGGTATGCGGAGCAGTAGCAGCAAACGCCAGGACTCACAGGACAGGCAAGGAGCTGGTCCCTCTCCTTCTCTCCCACCCCCCTCAAAATGGGACTCTGAGGTGACGTCCATGAACTGTCTCAAGCTACTCATTAAACTCCTTAACAGCCACAACACAGAGACACACAAAGGAATCTCAGAACCAAGCAACTCGCTGCAGAGATCTCTCTAGACCCTAATTATTAAAATTTTAGAATTCCAGGAGCATGCGGCTGCTAGACATTATATGCTATTCATAACAAGCAATACAAAACAAATTGTCTAGCATTGCCTTTTCGGCAGGTTTGAATGGTGGTGGGAAAATTCCAAATAATAATGGTGGGACTGGTGTCAAAATATTGAATGTAAGTATAGAGAGAGAGTATTGTGGAAATTGTGTGCCACACAGGCAGGGGAGGGGTTGGGATTGGGGGGATAGTGAAGACTTTGGTGGTGGAAGATGTACATTGGTGAAGGAATGGGTATTTGATCATTGTATGACCAAAACTTAAACATGAAAGCTTTGTAACTATCTCACAGTGATTCAATTAAAACATATTAAAAAATAAAAAAGGGGCCGAAGCGATAGTACAGCAGGTAGGGCGTTTGCCTTGCACACAGCCGATCCAGGTTCGATCCCCGGCATCCCATATGGTCCCCCCAAGCACCGCCAGGAGTAATTCCTGAGTGCAGAGCCAGGAGTAACCCCTGTGCATAGCTGGGTGTGACCCAAAAAAGCAAAAAATAAATAAATAATTTTTTAGAAATCTGCGCCAAGTAACTACAAGAAAATTATTTGATATTTATAGTTAAAGCAACTCAAATCTATCAAATCTTACGAAAAACTCTTTCTTATATAAAACAGTTCAGATACTCACATTGCCCATGTACTCTGAGAGCAAGTCCTGCAGGGCCTGACGGACAGCATTACACTCAGCTACGATTCTCTCCCGCCGATCATCCCGAGTGCAGGAGGAGTCAGCCATCAGCGCTGCCCCACTAATAATGCTTTCCAGGCGCTCCTCTAGGGAAGGCCTAAACCGCTCTTCGCTGAAGCTCAAGGGATCCACAATGATTTGTTTCTGCAAAGGGAGAAAAGCATGATAAGGAATATAAAAATTTAAACATGAGATTTTAATAGCATGAAAAAATATTTTTAGCAAATAACAGGTGATCCCATTGAAGTTAACCTACATATGTAGATCACTTCTCAACGAACACACTGGAGCATTACTATCCCACTGAAGAGGGCCTGCATAATACTACAAATGCAAACATAATGTCACCCTAAAACTTTTGTTCCCCACTACTTATTCTGAACATCTCAAAGTAAGCCCATATAGTATTAAAATAGTCAAATACTGTATAGGTTATATAATGAAAAGAAAATCACTTCAGCCCTGATTTTACTTTTCTATATAAAGAATCCTATATGACATTAACAGAACTATTTCCCCACAAAAAAATAAAAATGAAAAAATGGCTTCTTGCTTCTTTCCTCAAAGTTTCAGAAAGAAATGTTCATAATTTCAATCTTTTTCCCTCACCTTACTATCTCACCTAATTTCATAAACATTTTAGGAGCCGTAACAATAGCACAGCACATGGAATGTTTACCTTCCCAAGGTTCAATCCCCAGCATCTGAGCACCACTGGATGTGGCCCCAAAACAAAAATAAAATACACACACAAACTTTCTCCTCGCTCTTCTCTCCACTCCCCACTCCCTTCCCCTCCCCTCCTCTCCCTCCTTCTCTCCCTCTCTCTTTCTAGTCTTATGTGATTCATACTACAGAGAGTTCCCCCTTTTCTTCTTTTTGAACCACACTGATTCAGTGCTTATTATGGGTTGCTCCTGGTGTTACTCAGGGGACTATGAGGTAGATGCCAGTGATCAAACCCAGACTCCTATATGCAAAAGATGTGCTTTAGCCCTTTGAGTTATCTTCCCAGTCCCACATTCAACATATACATCGCTCAAAAACCTTCAGGTAATCTTTTAAAAAAAGATAGAAACCCAACAAAAGCATTCCGTAAAGCATCAGTATACCAGTAAGAATAAATGCTTCATCTGTCTTCCCTTCACTGACCTGACTGAGTTTAAATTCAGCTTTACCAACAAGCAGTCACTTCAGATCAAAATCAAATTTTAAGTACAAAGTTAAACATTAACCATCCCCAGGACTGCAATATTGACCTCCCTCCAAATTCTCCAATGATACAATTAATCTTTACACTGGTAACAAGTGTGCACATATTTTTCCCTCAATTTTCTTCAAAGGGTCTACTATATTCATATTAATTTCCAACTTTATTTGCCAATTTTTTTTCTTTTAAAAGTGTTCCTTTTACATGTATACATTTCTTCTTTCCTTTCCAAAGAAACTTTAGTTTCAAAACTAAACATCAAAACTAAACATCTGAGTTCATGATTAACCTACATTTCCACTGATGGCTTTTCTTACCATATTGTTTTCTGTTTTGAGACACATTCGACAATGCTCAGGCATCTCTTGCAAGGCTCGGAGATGCCAGGGGTCAAACCCAGGTATGCTGTGCACAAGGTAAAGGCATTCCCCACTGTACAACTGCTCCACCCTCTTACCAAATTATTAAGATTTCTGTGGCAAAAATTACCTTCTGAGCAACAAAAAAAAGAGTAGAGAATAATCACAGACACAGAGTTACAATGGGCTGGAGATCATTTAGTCCAAATTCCTCACTTTATTAATGCAATTTCACTTTAGACCTAAGAAGTTAAGTGACCACGAATAGATGTAACTCATTTTAGGGCAGAAATGTCACCTTTACTGACTCAAAAGCAGCAATAACTGATACTGCCAATTTGGGATGGAGACAGTAATTGTAAGGTACATCAAAAAATTTTGCTATAATACCATGTTTAAGCTTCATGTTTGAATTCCCAATGTAACAATTCAATTCTAACACTGTGGACTGTCGACTTTACACTGCCTTTATGATTTGTGGGAAGTGAGAAATCAGGCATCTACATCAGCAAGACTCAATTACCAGAGCCAAAGTAAAGGGTAAATCAAAGGAAGAAGAGGGAAAGGGAAAGGTAAGCAAACTGATTTATTAAAAAAAAAAAAAAAAAGGCAGCGGGCTGGGCTACAGGAAGTAAGGTTCTTGTACTGCACGTGGTCAGGACCAATTTTATTCCTGGCACTGTTCTTGGGCTCCCTGAGCACTGTCAGGCATCACTCTTGAGCATAGATCTAGGAATAGCTCTGGAGCCCTAATGAATACTGCTCCCAAAAGAAAAAATGCAGGGCTAAGGAGACAGCACATTAACTGACAGCACTAAGCTGAGAGTAACGCCACAGCACCATTGGGGGGGTGTCACAATGCATTTCATTATATTGACAGTATACTTTTAAAAGAAATACTCTTTACTTTTAAAAGGATGGTAAATCATCCGGCAGGCAAATTTTCCCTTAATTTTTTTTTCAATATTAATCCCAATAGTTGGTTTAAAAAAAATTTTTTTTTTAAATCTTAAACTGCTGCCATCTACTGGAAGCCATGAAGCATTGTGGGTAAGAATTATAAAACCAAACCCCAAAAATAAAGATCAGAGTTGATACACAGGACAGTAGTGTGTGTGTGTGTGTGTGTGTGTGTGTGTACCTGCACGCACACACACACACACACACACACACACACATATACTCGGCAGGTGTGTATATCATTAACAGAAGATAATTATGCTAAAAAGGCAATATTTTTGCATTTGCTTTCCTGAAATGCAGGAAATGGGCTGGAGCGATAGCACAGCACAGAGCTTTGGGCGTTTGCCTTGCACACAGCTGACTCAGGTTCGATTCTTTCATCCCTCTCGGAGAGCGCGGCAAGCTACCAAGAGTATCCTGCCCACACGGCAGAGCCTGACAAGCTCCCCGTGGCGTATTCGATACGCCAAAAACAGTAACAAGAAGTCTCACAATGGAGACGTTACTGATGCCCGCTTGAGCAAATCAATAAACAACGGGAGGACAGTGCTATAGTGCTATGCTAAAAAGGCATTTTAATCCAAAACTTGATTACACACAATTAAATTAGGTTATTAATATAAACAATATTATTGTTAAGTAAAACAATGTAGTTAATGAAGAGTATTCCTAGACAAAGAAGATTAAGGTAACAGCACTTCAGTTATGATCACTTATGGTTTATTTTTGTCTCCCACTAGACTCAAGGTTCCCAAGCTTATTTGACTATCACCCACTTCTCAAGGAGGAACAAAGGATATCATTCAGTGGCCCCTACAAATCTATCTTCTTTCCCCCTCCCACCAGGGGAGAATGTGAATGCAGCCCCCAAATTATGCAGTCTAGTTTCCCACATTTGGGAAAATCACAGGAGTCAGCATATCGGGAGTGCAATGGACAAGCCTCACCCTGGAAAAACCACCTTCAAGATCATGGTATCTCCCGTGCCAAGAGAATCTACCTTCTTTGAACAAACAAGCATACAGCACACACTCCCAAGAAGCAGTGACTGCCCTGAATCCCGGAAACACGGCACTAGACTCTGAGTCGCTGAGGGGCAAAAGCACCCAAGAGCTCCAGTGTGTCTCCCAGTTTCCCATCTGCTGTAAGATCAAAATGTGGGTTGGAATGAACCAAACAAATCCATTAAAAAAAAAAAAAAGGCTGCAAGGAAACAAGCTGTATAAAAGAATTCACAGGTTTAACAAAGCGGGGTGAAAAGAAAAGTAGGGTGAAGGGAGGAAGAGAAGGTGGAAATAAAGAAAACACTTTATCAACGACTACTTACAGATGATCCATAAAAAGTAGGGGATGGAGGCAGGGAGTGGGTGAGAGCCACTCCTAATGTGCTTGGGAACCACTAGGGCTGCCCCCAGCAGTGTTCAGGAGAGCAATGCTCGGGGAACAAACCCAGGGCTTCCCAACATGTGGGTCATGTGCTCTACCACCTGAGCTACATCCTGACCCCAAGATTGCAAATCTAAGTAAAAAATAAGCCTTCATTAGAAATCCTGATCACAAGTATTTTCCTAGAAATTTGTTAACTTCTAGAAATGATGACAGCCTCCAGTTTCTGGGGCAAGGGAAATGGCTCAAAGAGCTACAATATCTGCCTTACATGCAGAAGCCCAGGGTTTTCCAGCATAACATGGTCTGTCCCTCACCCCAAGCACTGCCAGGGACTGGGTCACCCCTCACCCCACCTGCTCCCCTTAGGAAAGCTTCATCTCTTCCCAAACAGAACTTACATCGAAGTTGTTGAGTGCATACGCCAGTTCTCCTCCTCCTCCACCATGGTGCTGGGAGGCATCATCTGACGCAGTGGCCTGTGCAGCATTGGAGATGCCGGTGACTGCCTGCTGCAGCTGCTTATAGATCAGATCCCTGTTGGCTTTGTAGGCTGCAACATCAGGATGCTGGAGGCACGCCTGGGATGCAGTATAGAGAATCGGGACATTTTTCTGCAAGATTCCTCTGGCTGCAGCCATCTGATCACGATGGCCCACATCTTTTAGTTCCTACAAAAGTAAAACAAGAAATTAGAACAGTCTTTATATGGGTTCTATTCATACAAAAAGCTAAACTGTTAAAACTTCTACTAATTAGGCACACTGCTTTCATTTATAGTCTTGTTTGAAAGTGTATCACAAAGGAGACAGTACTGCTTAGAAGGTAAAAACCCAAACTTTTACAATTCACACAAAGGTCTGAATTTTAAATCTCCCGTTCTATTTTTCCCTAGCTATTATGACTTTGCATGCTCGGCTTCACCTTCTGTACAACAGGAGCACCCTTAGTTTTTAAGAATTAAATTAAACAGTATCATGTCAAATACAGTATAACACTAAATAAAAAATCAAAACCAGGGACCAGAGCTATAGTACAGTGGGTAGGAAGTTTGCCTTGCACATGGCTGACCCAGGCTCGATTCCCGGCATCCCATATGGTCCCCCAAAACACCACCAGGAAGAATTTCCTGAAAGCTGGGCCAGGAAATACACCTAAGCATTGCTGGGTGTGACCCAAAAAAGAAGGAAGGAAGGAAGGAAGGAAGGAAGGAAGGAAGGAAGGGAGGGAGGGAGGGAGGGAGGAAGAATCAAAACATATAATCTATAGTATCTTGAGTACCTACTACAATCAAAATAGGAAAATTTACTAGTTACAGTGCAGTAACTTTATTTTAACACTAAATATTAACATTATTGTAAACCATGTAACTCAGTAATTAAAAAATAAAAATTTTTAAAGAAAAAACAGCCCTTACATACTGTAAATAAAGTATGGTTCAAGATAAAAATGAATTTTAAACAAAAAAATTATGAGGATATTTTTCAAAAATTAAGAAACTCACTCTGGTTATTTACAAAGATAGTCACAGCTGAATTTCAGACATACAATGTTCCAACATCCATCCTACCTCCAGCATAGACTGCCCCTGACCACTGTCCTCAGGTTCTCCTTTGGTTTGACTGTCTCATGTTTTTAGTGTTGTTAGCTGTGTATATAGAAATATATACCATACCTCTACCCCACCCATGTACCCAAGCCCCCTGAGCATTGCTCTTGTTACCCCTATCGGCCTCTTACCCCCAACTCCATTTCTTTCCTTCCCTGTCCTTCTTATTTCTATAATCTAGGGTCAAGAATAATCTAGGTTTCCCTTCCTTTGGTACCTCACATTCCCTTGTCCTGTTAATTTTATATACCACAGGTGAGACCATCCAGCATTAGCCTTTCTTCTGACTTACTTTGCCTAACATGATATCCCCAACTTTCATTCAATGCAGTAAACTGCATAATTTCATCATTATTTGCAGCTGCACTATGTAAATACATGCAACACCTTCTTCATTCTCCACTCGTCTGTCTTTAGATACCTAAGCTGAGTCCATATCTTAACTATTGTGCTGAAAGCTTCAAGAATAATGAGTGTTTTTGTGTCCCAATATTTCTATTTTTTATAAAATTATAAAACAAGAGTTTTGTGAAATTTGGGATGAGAAACCACAGGTGTACATAAAACTATAAACCTACCAAAGACCGGCTGTTCTTCCAAGAATGCTACACCTCTCCTCTCTCTATTTCCTCCTCTATTCCCAAAAACCAACCTAGGACACAAGACATTTATATATAAAGCTAAGGCTCATATAGCCCTTATTTCAAATGTTTTTCATTTAACATTTTTATATGTAAAGGATCTTATGTGACATTTTCTTTATTCAGAATTCTCATAACTCAAAATCCTACCTCACAATTACAATTACAATTGAAAGGATTCGAGTTTCCTGGCATGGTTTCCACTTCTGGCATCTACCTGGTAGATGCACAGATAGGCCAAATAGTGGCAAATAAGTGATGCCAAAAATAAGCCAGTTTGAAGGAGGGTACTTCTGGTATCTCATGACAGGGGGGCCAGAGTAGGATAAGAAGTTTGCCTCGCACACAGCCCACCTGGTTTCACTCTGCTATCCCAAATGTTCCCCCAAGCACTTCCTGGAGTTATTACTGAGTGCAAAACCAAAAATAACCCCTGAGCATCATCAGGTGTGGCCCAAAAACAAAACAAACAAGAAACATGCACATTAATAAATGTGTATAGCCACTGAGAAGAAACTCTGATCCCCAGATCTACTGCTACTGCTATTCTACTTCACACATGATCACAAAATTTCTATTTAAGTGTCACCAACTGAATCTTAGAGTAAAAATTTAAACATTTTCAAAACGTGTGTATGTGTAAACAGTAAGAGAAAATTGACTAACTTTAAAAGGCCAAAGTCAATTACTCAATTTAAAGTCTAACATAGCTATTTAATGGCTCATCTTTCTAGATGAGTTCCTAATTAAGCATTAGACACCAAACTTCCTTTTCCTGAAATTTCACTTCGCTATATATTTTTGGTTTGCATCTTTATTCAAACCTTGTATAATGTGACAGCTTACTAAAATTCCTTTTCTCATTTGGAATCTGAATTTGCAAGTACTTGCTCACAGTACTCCAAATGCCCTATAGCACAGTATATTAGGCTAAATATTCAGAAACAGGACCCTGTAGATTTAGAAAATCACTGATCATTTCAAGACTCAAGCTAGAACAAGGGGCTGAATAAAGCTAACTAGTATGCTTAAACAGTTGATACACAGGCTCTATGTGGCATTTTCTAAAGGTTTTGCCCTTACAACATCTTAGGAACTCTAATTTTCTAGAAAGGCATCTGCATTGAAGCATTTATATTATCCCTGATTCATGAAACTCTTCACAATTAACTTTGGCACTCTTCCTCAATATGTATAATATGTGTAATCAAGATCAATACAGATTCATAAAGGTTACCAAAGACACCCTGTGGTCACCTAAAATTGATAGGTGCCAAAATTATAATTAACAAGCTGACTTTCCTAAAGTGGTCTGGTTTGAGAAATTTCTAGCTTTCAGAAGACAACATCTGTTAAAATAGCCAAAAATAGGATATGGTGGATTTGAAAACTGAGGATTATATCAAGACTGAAGCTGTGACAAGAAATTATGGCTAACCATTATATTTAAACTGCTAGTACTCATGTTCTGTGTGGCATTTTCTAAATGTCTTGCCCTCATCACGAAGTATATCTGATAGACTTCTATTCATCAAGCATGAGAGATACATTTTAATCTGTAATGAAAATGACAGCTAAATATCATCACTTGTCCCAACCGCTAAAGTGTTCTACTTTGTCTCTTTAAAATGGCTTTTCCCTTAGCATAAAAAAATTAGATTTTGTTAAGTGAAGATAGAAAATGGATACTATTCAGGAGTCAGCACCATTTACTATAACAAGAGTGACAGATCACATGTATTCATTCCAAGTTATATATACTAATAATCTAAATTCATGGAAAAAGCTATTAAGCAATAATAGCTTATCTATGAAGAATCCCTAGTCTAGTAGAGCCTTACATATATGTATGAATAAAAATTATATGTATATCATTTCAACTTTGCCGATCCATCTTCATTTCAAACAAACCCAAAACAAACAGAAAGCATAACAATCAATCAGATACAGGAATAAAACTAGCAAGAAATAGAAACTAACTTCTAAAGTATATCTAACACTCTTTATCCAATTCAAGTGAAAGTTTCCTCTCACTTCCCTCTTAACAACATAAAACTGTAGCCATATATACAATGGATCTGATATCTTCTCTTAGATTTAAACAAAATTAAAGAAATGGCTAGAGTCAAATATACCAGGTTCAGATTACTTACAAATAAAACACTGGCACTACACCATATAATCAATGTTTTCCAAAAAATGATCCCATAAATCAGTTTAAAGACTACATGTTTACTGAACAGTTCAACAAGCTCCATGTTCCATCTCTAATACACCAACATGTATTACAACATGTTGCAACCACAACAGAATTATAACATGCTGATGACAGCAGTCCTTACAGGAACCAGGATCAGGGCCAGCCCATCCTCACCTCTGCCATCTATTTTACCCTTAAAGTGAAAGAATCTGTTGTCTACTGGAAATTCTTCATTAGTAATATTCTAATCCAAAAAAGCAATAGAAGGACCACATTTATAACCCACCCTAGAATTACCTATATTAAAGAGCTCATTGAATGTTTATTGAACACCACTATATCATACTCAATGTTTTAGGTAATGGGGGGAAAAACTGCAGTAGCAATTTAAAAAGTCAAATCCCTATCATAAAGAGCCAGTTAACCTGGGTCAACACCTGTCTGTACCACTTACTGTATTAATGGCCTTGCCAAATTAACCTTCTCTATGCAACAACTCCACCATCTATAAAAATTTGAGAGGCCAGAGTGACAGTACAGAGGGTAGGGTGTTTGCCTTGCATGTGGCTGACCAGGTTCGAATCTTGACACTCCATAAGGTCTGCCAAGCCCAATGGGATGATTCCTGAATACAGAGCCAGGAGTAAGCCTTGCGTACTGCTGGGTGTGGTCAAAACACTTAAAAGAAAAAAATTATCTGATCAATTATACTATCTAGCCTATACTATCCTGTAAATTTTGTTTAAAGAGTCAGCGTTTTAGCACATTTTATAGTTTGAGCACATTTTTGTTTTTAGGCCCCACCTGGCAATGCTCAGGGGTTACTCCTGACTCTGCATTCAGGAATCACTCCTGGCAGTGTTCAAGGGATGATATGAGTTCAGCTGTATGCAAGACAAGCATCCTATCTACTGTACTACCACTACAACCTCCAGTTTTGCCACATTTTTAGGGTAATTCACTATTTCCTTTAGAAACATCGTCACCATCACTCCTAAACCCCAGATAAAATGACAAATAGGTACATTTCAGAGCGCCTATAGGCCTTTTTAGGTTTAGCATTTCCTCAAAGGGCTGCAGCTTAAGTAACGCAAGGGAACCTAAGAAGTCAACAAGCACATCACGCCCAAATGCTACTCATACTTTGTTTTGATCTAGAATTGCCTGCGAAGATAAAAGGGTCAATGCAGAAATAAATTATTACATACCAAGCCTGAGGAAACAAGAAAAGTCAAAGATAAAAATAGTCCAGAGGTCTAAGCATCCAGCAATCCTAATAAAAAGCATACAGTGTAGAAAAAGTGAACAGTTTTTAAAGGAGATCAGAAGGCAGATTCCAGAGGGAATATGAAGTTTCTACAGAGTCTTAGGGTAAAATGAATAGTAGTGCACCTGCCCCCAAATAGCACTTCTTTATGAGAATGCATACTAAGTGCAAAGAAATTCAAGTCCTATAAAGGACATTTTATGAACAGTTAAGTGCACAGAAGCCTACTCAATGATTAACCTATTTAAATCATTCCATCATGGAAGTCTAGAGAAAGAATTCCAAGATTCCTGGCTGACCAGATGTGCCCCCCACCTAACAACCCCCCCCCAAAAAAAGTTGCCAGAGCACATAGTACAGCAGGTAAGGTGCTTGCCTTGCACAAAGCTGACCTGGTTTTAATCCCCAGCATCCTCTACAAAGCACCAGGAGTAAATCATGAACACAGACAAAACCCAAGAGAGAAGGAAGTGGTCCCCCAAGCATTGAATCAGGGGTAGTCCTAGTACTGTCAGGTGTGGCCAAATCTCCCTCCCCCAATCACAAGGAAATATTATTGAAAACTTTCTTTTGGAGGATTTGAAGAGATAGTATAGTGGGTAGGGAACTTGCCCTATACACAGCTGACCCAGGTTCGAATCCCCAAAACCAGACATGCTCTCAAACCCACCAAGATTAATTCCTGAGCACAGAGACAGAAGTAATCCAAAAAATACTTTTTTCTCTTTTTCTTTCCTTTGGAGATGGTGGGCTGGTTATGTTCTCCCAGGTGGTGTTCAGAAAGCCCTGGGGTCCTTCCAAGTAATTCTCCCAGTAAGTGTGGACCAAAAAAAAAAAGATTTTCATGATATCTTTAGAATGTCTGAAACAAAGCCAGAGCAGTAGTATAGCAGGTAAGGTGCCCTGCCCTGCACTTGGCGGAACCGACTTAATTCCTCAACATCCCATATGGTTCCCCAAATACCACCAGGAGTAATTCCTGAGTTGAAGAGCGAGAACCAGAAGTAATCCCTGAACACCATCAGGTGTGGGCCCCCTCCCCAAAAGGGGGGCTAGGGTGGGGGGAGAAATGTTTGAAATGTACTATCTCTTAAAGTAAAACAGAGATTGTGTGTAAGGTATATTATGTACATTCAAGACACATAGAAAATTTAACTCAATTCCATTGTCTTCAGTCTTCAGAAGCATATACAATTTCAAAATATGACTTTAATCTCAATACCATCAATTTACCTATTTCATTTTTCAAGGATGTGCAATAGTGTCAGTCTCAATGTGCTCACTTTCCTCAAAGAGTAATATATCTTCACAAACATACTATTTACAATAGTATGCATTTATAAACATATGAAGGTAAGACAAGACTCTCTGTCAGAGGTTTTTATAGCTTTTAATAACAGCTATTATTTCAATGTTCAAAGAATAGAAATAATGTTAAGCAAAATAAATCCTGAGCGAATTTTGCCTATTTACTAAATTACAGAATTACCATACTATTGAATGCATTCTTAGGACCAGTCAGTTCTACGATTGAGCACACTGAGCTCGTTTACACAAACTGTACCTAGATGATTAAGGTAATCAACAAACCTAATTCTATTATCATCATTTGTAATACTAACTACTAAAATTATAAATTGGGACCTCATCTGTATAGATTCAGTCTGATCATATCTTTTTAGCCTGAAATATGAGCAGTAACTACCTTACTGAGTGTCACACTAAATTAAATGATATACAAATAATATTTATTATTATTTCATTTAATCCCCTCAATCTGAAATAAAATCTAGTAAATATAACAGGATAAAAGTTACTTATAAGTCTCCAAATATGGGGTTATCATAAACTAGACATTTATAGTATTGACCTCATTCTCCTGTCTGTCAGAGCTTGGACTGGATATTCCTGTTCTCAAGAATTTATCCCCTTCTAGAAAGTAAGATAGATCTTCATTTCTGCATCAGATACGGTAATTGCTCTCCTCCTACCAATGATTAGTGATGAATGATTGTTATACAATGAGATAGATTTGGGGTAAATATTTTAGGGGCTTCAAGACCGCTTGCTTATTTCCTTATTTATTTATATCTAAGTAATAAGTGTTAAGTAATAAGTATTTATTTACTTACTTATTTTGGGGTTTGGGGGTCACACCCAGCGATGCTCAAGGGTTACTCCTGGCTTTGCACTCAGGAATTACTCTTAGCGGTGCTTGGGGGACCATATGGGATGCAGGGATCAAAGCTAGATTGGCCGCTTGCAAGGCAAACGCCCTATCTGCTATACTACTGCTCCAGTTTGCTTATAAAGAAAAGCTTAAGAAAGAAAACAGTTCTTTTTATTTCTCTAGACATACTGAAGCATCCAAACGTCACGTCCAGAGCTCTATAACTAACTAGTGCCAGACACACTGAAGATGGTGTTGCTAGAAAATTTCAAGAATCTGGGTTCTTATTGATACTAAAGTCATTTGAAATGTACTATCATGGCAGTGTGATTTTTGCTATTGTTCTAGGGCCTTTCCAGGCTGCTGGGAAATACTGCTTTTTTTATTTAGTTTTGGCTTTTTTAATCACACCCAGCAGTACTCAGGGTTCACTTCTGACTGCACTCAAAGATCACTTCTGGTGAGACTCAGGGAACATATGCAGTGCTGGGAATCAAATCAGTTAACACTCAGGCAAGCATCTAACCTAAGTTCAACTGCCCATAATGCATGGTCCCCTGAGAATCACCAGCTATGGCCCTGGAAGTCCCCAGCATCACTGGGGCAGCCCAAGTTTCCCCAACACACAAGGCAAGAACAGCACTGCAGTCTCAAGTCCTTGTTTTGATTGAACCAATGGCCCAGTTGGCAGAGAATCACTAGTGAAGCCCCTGGGTCTCCTGAGCACTGCTTAGAAAACTCTCCTCACCCTTAAAATACATTTAAGTAACAAAACAGTATATGGAGGGGAGTTTCTGATACAGAAGTATTTCCAATATGCTTCAATTTTTCAAAGAAGTTTTCAAAAGTCTGAATTAAACTCCACTACCAACTCAAGTTAATCCCTGAACACACAAAACAAATGTGTATCACCTCTCTAGTCATAATCACAACAAGCTACTTAAAGTAAAAGCTTCACAACAAATAGAAGTATAACATGAATGCAACTTAATTATAGCTTTATTACAAGAAATAGTAAAAGATACTTCTTAAATGTTTTCATCTAAGTCTACTGATAGAATGAGGTACTGGTACCTTCAGAAAGTTTATGTAAAATAGATCTTTACCACTAGATAGTATTTAAAAAAAAAAACCTTGAATTGTTACCAAATCATGACTGTACCTGCTGTCTTTTGGCTGCCATGATATTCAGTTTATCCACTTCAGGTTTCAGGGCTTTATACTGTATTCCTAAATCTTGTTCAGTGCCAGCATTCCTCAGTTTCAAAATACCTTCTTCCACCTAGAAAAAAAAAAAACCAGAAAAGCTTTAAACAAATCAAGCCTGTATATAAAGATCTAAAAAATCTATGTATCTTTTAAAAACTATTCAGATTGCAATGCAAACTTTTAATTTAGATGGATAAATATTTGAGTAGCTATTAAGATACCTTTACATGAGGTGAGATGGGCTGTATTATGCTAATTTCTACCTAAAAAGATAAAATTTAATGTATCTTAATTTCTCAACTCTGGAACTTAACTGGCAGAAGGAAATGTTTAATCAAAACTGAAAAAAGGGGGAATGAAACTAAAACAATACCTTTGGCAAGTTCCTCAATAAACCTAAAACAAAACAGGCTCATAGCAGAGCCAGTTGAATAGAGAAGGTTAAGTGTAACAAAACATTCCTGGTCCCTTAGGTAAACCAAGATCAAAACCAAACCAAATCCTAAGGAATGCTGAACTAAGTATGGCCAGCAGCAAACTCACTGTGATAGAGAAAACAAATTACAGACATGGGCCTGTACTTACAACTTTCAGCTGAACAAGTAATTTGTAGACATCTGCCATGTCAGCCAAAATAAGCAACCGGGTAACAGCAGAGAGCAAAGCTCTAGCTGCCCGAACCATGTTGCCACGTTTCACAGAAGAACAGGGATCATCTGCAAACTCTCCTGCAGCGCTCTTCATCAAATCACCTATGTTACAAAATGAAAAAATGAAAACTCAGCAGGAATGAACCTGAATAATTCATTTACAATGTAAATATTAAAAAAGGAAAACAGTTCAAACCCTGAATATTCCATGCACAGAATTAAGTTCAAGGATTCTGGGTTTTGTTTTGTTTTTTTCCCTGTCTTTTTATAGTTGTCACTAAGAAAAGTGTTCTTGTACATTACTGGTGAAAGCACAATTATCTGGAAAGCAATTTGGCTCCGAATAAAAAACCCTAAAAATACTCATTTCTGGGCTAGATAGACTGTAGACGTAGATAGTTTGCACATGCTTGACCCTTGTTCAATCTCCTGAGCTGCTAATGATCTTTCAAGTCTCATCAAGAGTGATCCTTGAGCACAGGAGCCAGGAGTAAGCCCGAGGCACCGCCAGGCATGGCCTTCCAAAAACCAAAATAGTAATAGTAATAATAATTTTTTAAATACTAATTTCTAGCAGCACTGGAACAGTAAGCAATAGAGTACCTGTCTTATATTCAGGAGGCTAGTGAGGTCAAGGCTTCAATCGCCAGCTCACACAGATGCCCAAGTGCGATCCCAACAACTTTACTATTTGATACCCCCACAAAAGGACCACAACGAAGTGACACTGGCACACCACAAAATCTCTAGTGCATAAAACCAAGTATATAAGTAACAAAATTAAATGAGTGTAACCCTCGGCTAATAACAAAGAAAAACAGGTGTTACTTATGTCTAGAGCTAAGAATAGAGTAGCTCCAGAATACACTTCCCATTTATGAGGCCCTGGGTTCAAAATTCTCCTTTCTGTTCATCTAATACTATTATTCCTTTCCTAAAAGATCCATTAAGCAGTAAGGAAAGCCTCTTTAACAAATTGTGCTGGCATCACTGGACGTCTACATGCAAAAAAATGGGCTCAGAACTCTGCCTAACACCATGTACAAAAGTAAGATCAAAATGGATTAAAGACCTCAACATCAGACCAGAAACCATAAGGTACATTGAAGATAAAGTTGGCAAAACCCTCCATGACATTGAAGCTAATGGTATTTTCAAAGATGCCACGCCACTGGCCGAGCAAGTGAAAACAGAGATAGATAAATGGGACTATCTTAAACTAAGAAGTTTCTGCACCTCAAAAGAAACAGTGACCAAAGTACAAAGACAGTCTACAGAATGGGAAAGGATATTCACCCAATACACATCTGACAAGGGGTTGATATCAAGGATATACAAAATACTGGTTGAACTCCACAAGAAGAAAACATCCAACCCCATCCAAAAATGGGGCAATGAAATGAACAGAAACTTTCTCAAAGAAGAAATCCGAATGGCAAAAAAAGCACATGAGAAAATGCTCTACATCATTAATCATCAGGGAGATGCAGATCAAAACCACAATGAGATACCATCTCACACCTCAGAGACTGGCTCACATTCAAAAGAACAAAAGCAACCGATGCTGGCGCGGATGTGGTGAGAAAGGGACACTCCTTCACTGTTGGTTGGAATGTCGACTGGTTCAGCCCTTCTGGAAAACAGTATGGATGATTCTCAAAAAATTAGAAATTGAGCTCCCATTTGACCCAGCAATACCACTCCTGGGAATATATCCCAGAGAGGCAAAAATGTACAGTCGAGGTGACATCTGCACTTGTTTGTTCATTGCAGCACTCTTTACAATAGCCAGAAACTGGAAGAAACCTGAGTGCCCAAGAACAGATGACTGGTTAAAGAAACCTTGGTACATCTACACAATGGAGTACTATGTAGCTGTCAGAAAAGATGAAGTCATGAAATTTACATACAAGTGGTACAACATAGAAAGTATCATGCTAAGGGAAATGAGTCAGAAAGAGAGGGATAGACATAGAAAGACAGCATTCATCTGGGGGATATAAAGTAACAAAATATGAGATTAATACCCAAGAATAGCTGAGATCAGCACCAGGAGGATTACTCCATAGCTTAGAGGCCAGTCGGGCATTCTAGGGGGAAGGGCAGCTCAGATAGAGAAGGGAGCACAAAATAAAGGGTGTTTGGAGGATCCTCCCAGGAGGGGAGATGCATGTCGAAAGTAGACTATGGACTGAACATGTTTGCCACTCAATGCCTCTTTTGCAGACCACAACACCCAAAAGGAGAGAGAGAACACAAGGGATTGCCCTGCCACAGAGGCAGGGTAGGATGGGGGGGATGGGGGTGGGGGGAATATTATCCATGGTGGTGGAAAATGGGCACTGGTGGAGGGATGGGTATTTGATCATTGTATAATCGAAACCCAAGCACAAAAAATTGTAAATCTACAACTGTACCTCATGGTGTTTCACTAATAATAATTAAAAAAAAGATTTAAAAAAATCCATTAAGCAGGGAGATGGCTCAAAGGACTACAGAGGATGGTTTGCCCCAGTTCTATCCCCAGGATCACAAGGTCCCACAAACACTGCCAGGAGTAAGCCCTGCACACCAAATGCCTAACCCACATCCAGAACTGCTGGATATAGCACACACACTCCCACCCCCAAAGAAATCCAAGAGAAGCACTGTATGTATCTAGAAGTGTAAAACCCAAGATCAGAGGGGAAAATACCTAAATTTAATACAACCTACATTCATATTCACAAAATGATAAAGTTATTATTAAGTACTTTTAATGTTATACTTTTAATGTTAAAAGTTATCACCACTGTTCAATTAGCCATTCCAACTACCAAATGTATACCACCTGCACAAAGACTCTGGTACAATCATTGACTAATTTTTCCATAACAAAACATTGAAACAATATTTCAGGTCAGATTAAACTCTGAAATGTAAATAGCCGTGCATAATATAAGTTTGCCAACCCAGTTTATAGCGGAGCTTCTCAACCAGGCTGGGAGGGGCTGGGTAGGATGGGAAAAACTGCCGTGGGATACTCGCAATTGTATACTCGCAATTGTTCGAGTCATTTTGGTAGTCACAGCTGAGACTGCTGTAGGCTTCCCAAGTAGCAGAGTTCATTTTCAATGCTAGGACAGCCCCTATGACAGAGCATCCATACTCAAAAACATCAGCAGTGATCAAAAAACGCTTGCATAATTGGTGGAGGGAAGTGTCACTCACTGGTGAAGGGATTAGTGTTGGAATATTGTACACCTGTAAATCATAAATATCTTTGTAATTCTCAGTAAAAATTTTTCGGTTAAAAAAAACATTGAAACAACTCAAATATTTAACAATAGCATTCAGTAATCAAGCTATGGACTACAAGTGATTGTTATGCAAATATCAGCCTTTATGTAAAAACCTTTAAGAATACAATAAGGGGGGCTGGAGCAATAGCACAGCGGGTAGACGTTTGCCTTGCATTCCCAGCATCCCATATGGTCCCCTGAGCACTGCCAGGAGTGATGTCTTAGTGCAGAGCCATAAGTAACCCCTGTGCATAGCTGGGTATGACCCAAAAAGCAAAAAAAAAAAAAAAAGAATACAATAAGGGCCTGCTGGAGATATTACACAATGCCCAGGGCATTTGCCTTGCACACGCTGACCCAGGTTCAATCCCCAGCACCCCATATGGCTCCCAAGCACCGCCAGGAGTGATTCCTGGGTGTAGAGCCAGGAGTAACTTCTAAGCATCGCTGGGTGTGACCCAAAAAGCAAATATATATATATATATATATATATATATGTATATATATATATATATAAATAAAATTAGAGACGGACTTGGGGGTGAAAGAGGACAACAGTAAGGCTGACACAGGTTGATCTACAACACCCCGAGCCACACCAGGAATGAGCCCTGAGTATGACCCTTCAGGTATGACCCAAAAACCAATGGGAAAAAAAAAAATGAAACCATATAGGATTTAAAAGTAAACAATAGTTCGCTGCGATAAATCTAATGGCTGGGGATACATACAATCCTAAAGTAAAAGAACTAGCCTTACATGTACAAGACCCTGAATTCGATCCCTAAAACTTTTTCGACTACCCCCCAAAAAAAATATGGAAGATTTTCTATAAAGAACATATACCACTCCATGATTTCAAAATTCAACAATACTAAAAAAAACTGACATTAAAATAACTAATTATTGATCATGCATTTCTGTAACAAATCACTTCAGGTACCCAATGTTCTTTTTTTAGCTAGAAGAAATAGGAGGGACAGGCTGTGTCTGGTTCCACCAGTTATTAATATGGAAAATGCCTCTACGGGATCTATCTTTGCATAGCCAGGAAAGCAATTACTCCTGCCCTTGGCTGAATGTGTTCACTTCAGATTGAACCCCAAAGGGCATTCACTCTCTCATCAAATCCAAAAAAAAGCTCACTCTCAAGAAGCCTAGATACTTATAAAGAGATCTGACTATATTTCTCCTAGGTTGTAGGATAAGAACCTAGTGAGGAAAAGTTAAGCTCACCCTCAAATTATTAATTATACCTAGAAGCAACATACACTACTAAGAGCAAAAACAAGTTCTACATACTTATAACACATAACTGAAAAACTCCAGAGCTCAATAATTTTCCTTGATCCAAGATTCAGATCTAGACATATGGCAGGTTTTTTTTGTTTGTTTGTTTGGAGCCAGGTCCTCAGTGCTCAGGGGCTACTCTGAGTTCCATGCTCAGGGATCATGCAGTACTAAGGTCTGAATATAAATATACAATCCATATAGACAATCTATAATTCTGTCTATAATATATAATCAGCCTGTTGAGTTATCCCTCTGGTTCTACATATGGTACTATTATATGGGGATTTAACAATTAAAATTATATCTTATGGTACTTAGAGTTCACTCAACAAATAATTGAGGGCACACTATATTAAAAACTATTGGGGGCAGGAGCGGTAGTACAGCGGGTAGGGCGTTTGCCTTGCACAGGCCGACCCAGGTTCGATCCCCAGCATCCCATATGGTCCCTCGAGCATTGCCAGGAGTAATTTCTGAATGCAGAGCCAGAAGTAACCCCTATGCTTCTCTGGGTATGACTCAAAAAGT